CGTGCGTTCCGTCAAATTGGAAGAAGTTTACATTTCCAGAGCGAATTTTAGTTTTGAACTTATGAAGAATCAAAGTCGAATCTCCTTCTACCGAAGTTCGCACTTTGGCTGAATCACATTGCAAAGATACAAGCACACATACAAGGGCGAGCTCCAAAATTCGACCTTGTAAAAGAGAACTCGAGCCGCGATCAATACTGTAGGTTACCCGGTACAAGGGACTTGACGTCGCGACACGTCAACCTAGAGCGCCTCGAGTTACATCCAACTAGACCTCCAACACAGCTGTGCGATCTGTGTGTTCTCTAGTTCAAAAAGCCCCCGTGGCACCACACATATTTGTCAACCTCTCAGAATGACGCTTCTCCAGCTCGTTCGTTTCCTAGGCATAGTATGGCAGGGATACCTGCAAATGGTGATGCTGCCTGTGCTCAACACGTGTCGTGCGACGCGCGCACAGGTCGCAGCGTGCTTTCGTTGTGCCATGTTGAGCTTCGCCAATACATCGCGAGATTCGCTTGGTTGTTGTTCGTGCACTGAATCACACACGACGCTTGTACGTGCGCACGCACGTCCAAGCAGTAAACTCGAGTCAGGCTCACTTTTCCAAGTGAAAACTTTTACCATCTCCGAATTTTGCGATTTTCGCAGATCATTGTTCACGACATTTGCGAAATGGGTAACCACGTAAAGTTCGACCTTTTTTTTTAACTTGGGGACAGAACGCACGCGCCCTTAGAATGGCTTGTACCATTATATGATCAATTTTATTATCTCGTTCTTTTCAAATTTACTCTGACTCGAGGTCAACACTTCTGCTGCAACACACTCTTCGCAAATATTTTTTTTGGACCCTATGCACGATCAAGTCTTTGATCGCAACAGAATGGGACAGCTATGAGCCAATCAGGTTGGCCAAGCACATGCTCATCGATTTATAAAATATCGTCAGAACATGGTGCCAAAAGGAGACCTGCTTGGGCAAGTGAATGGGGAAAGGAAAGCATGAGAAATGAAGGTGCATGATAATCTACAACCAAGGAGGAAGCCAGCACCAGTGAGCCAAAGGGGATACAACACGCACTATGCGTGCAACCGAGTGTGATAGGACTGGCAGGCATGGGCAACACTTGTTGCATATTAAGGGGCAATAGGATAACTTGGAAGAAAGGGAAGCCAGGGCCAGGAATGGTATATGACCACTAGAAGCAAGGGTGGGTGAAGCTGCACCAGTGATTTTAAAGAAATAAAGGGGAACGCCATGGATGGGTAGGTGATGCGATGACAAATATAGCGTCTATGGAGAAAGATTATGGTGGATGCGATTGTGAGTGGGGAGATGAAGGAGATTGCCGCAATGTTACAAGGAGCATGGGCCTGCCAGGAAGGAGCCCGAATGGAAGGTGGGGAATGCAATGAGCGCGGAAGAGAAGAAGACGTTGCAAGCGATGCTAGCGGAGCAAATGAAGTGCTTCTTATAGACCTTACAAGAGCTTTGGAAGTGCACAATGAAGGAGATGGGATTGACACCGAGCACAAATGAAATGGTATTCGTGTGGTAGGGAGAAACTCGCAATGGGAGATGAGAATATTTGTTGGGAGAAATGTAAGGAGCTACTAGGGGCAGAACAAATTAGGCGTTCCGTAGTAACAGTAGAAGGTCCCCAGAGACGTGTTAAGCAAGAGGATGTGTGGCGACTATCAATCATTAAATAAGGTCACCATACCAAACAGATAACCAATGCCCACCATAAGGGACTCATTCTTATCACCCTGCATCCGAGACAAGGAACTTCACTCAAGTTTATGAGTTTAACGAAGTTGCTCAAGTTTCTCAAGCTTAAAGTCCAACAATAAGGGCGTGTGTGATTTTTTTTCGAACTTCCCAAAGTTTGAACTTTTATAACGGTTCTACACGGTAGGATACAGTAAAGAGATTTTTTGCCACGGTGCAAAGCGGTTTGAGTTCGAACTTTGACAGGTTGGGAAAAATCACACACGCCCTAAACTTCATCTTTCAACTGTAAGACTTTGTTCAAGCCGTAATCCCACACGAGTGTACATACGTAAGTACCTACAAAAAATCATGAGTGCTCAAGTGCGGAATCAACAGGGGGCATTTGGCAGACATGAAATTTGAAGACAGTTTCCTTCAAGAGGCAGATCTAGCCAAATTTCACAGTAGTTTGACAACCGTTTTCTTTGGCAGACAACAGCGTGGGAATTACACAGACTTTTTCAGGGGTACGGATTTGTTGCGACGAACTGGAGGTGGCAGCCGCAACAGTGTAGGGGGGGGAGAGACAGGTGTAATTTTTCATCTCAGTTCAAGAATCATCGGCGAATTATGACTAACTTCTCGACGAGTCTAGACAAAACCGCCGGAGGTGCTGACATCATCTGACACCGGATCAACGTTCGACAATATTTTCGAGGTGACATTTGATTTGGTTACTGCTTCGACGACCATTGCCGACTCTCGATAATCAACTTCGCTGTCAATCGCCTTTGATCGTCTTCTTCTCCGACAATCGTAACAATCGTGACTTCAAGGCCAGAGGATTTCAGGACGAGCAGCTCCATCTCTTCTAGCGTCAACTTGCCCCACTCGACCGCCTACAACAACAACATCTAGTTCAACCACGTCAGGTGCTGCCAGCTGCAGCCCGTTCTTTGTTCTGGCTCGACCCCGTTCTTTGTTCTGGTCTACGTTGATTACCTAGTCTTCGTGACTCCTGACCAACGTGCACTGGCCTCCGTGAAAGAGGAACTGCAGAAGAGACACACGTGCACTGACCTCGGTGAGCTGCAGCGCTGCCTTGGCCTACAAATCACCAGGGACAGGGCAGCTCGCACCATTACGCTGGCACAGTCACATATGGTCGAGCAGATCCTCACGCGGTTTCGCTTCCCGTTCTCCAAGGTACAACCCACACCTCTTGCTGTGGATCATGGGCTCACGGCTCCACCTTCGGACGAGCCATTTGAGTCCAGTGGTCCATATCCTGAACTTGTGGGTTGTCTCATGTACCTGATGACTTGTACTCGCCCAGACCTAGCTTACCCTTTTAGCGTCCTTGTGCGCTTTGTTGTGTCTGGGAGACACCAACCTTCACTTGGTACACGGCTAAGAGGGGGGCAAAGTATGTGGCGAGTACATAGGGCATGAGACTTGTCCTTGGAGGGAAGCAATCAGTTACACTTACAGGTTTCTCGGACTCGTCGTGGGCCGACGACGCAGAGTCGCTGCGGTCTACACAATGTTACTGCTTCGGCCTTGGTGAGCGGCCTCGCTCTCCCCCAGTCTAGTTCGCCGACAACAGGTCCGCTATCCTGTTGTGCGACGAGCCCCGACTGGTTGGGAAGGCGACGCACATCCAACTTCGTTACTTCCTTCTACGAGAATTGCAGCAGCGTGGCCAAGCATTCGTGCGACGTGTGGTCTTTGAGGCCAGCAATGCAGATATCTTCACCAAGGCATTGCCGCCTTGTGACCACCATCGTTTTTGCTGACGCTGATGATGATGATGATGATGTTGATGCATCAGAATCACCAGTGACCTCCCGCCATATACTGACGTGGACGTGGCTGCCATTGGCTGCATCGCGTGGGGACACTCTGTGGGGCATGGGGGCCGGGATGGGATGCAGAAGGATGTGAGTTTAAAGACGAGTTGGGGATGGACATTGGGGCACGGCGAGATAAGGATTGGTGAAAGAAACATGGAGGCTTGCGGAGCCATGGAGGCTTGCGGAGGGGCAGGTTGACTGAACATGAACATGCTGAGAAATCTCAAACTCCCATTTATCACATGCACGAGGATTGGATGGATGCATGCTCAGCATGTGCACGTGGATTGCATGGATGCATGCTCACATTGCCTCACCACCAACAAACTTGCAGCAAAATTAAACAAAAAAAAAAAAAAGAGAGAGAGAAAAAGAGTGAGAAAGAGAGAGAAATAAAGGAAAGAGTGAGAAAGAGAAAGAGAAAAAAAGGAAAGAGTGAGAAAGAGAAGAGTGAAAGAGAAAAGGACTGTGGGCAGGTAATTGCAAGAGAAAGTGCATGGGAACTGACTGTGGAAGGAAGGTGACATCAGTGGGCGAGCTGCTTCACTTGCTGCTCGCGCCATCCACCCCTCCACTCCCCTCCCCTCCTGCTGCTCTCTGCACCACCCTAGAAATTGCCTCCCGGACCAGCAGGATCCTATCAGCTGCTGCCAAGTCAGCTGCATGCCCCACTACTATTTCAAACTGCCCGCCACCCGATTCCGGATGAAGCTGTGAGAGGGATAAAGGGGGCACAGAAGGAATTGAGGGAGCACCAGAGTGAGATAGTGAGGTTAAAGGAAGTGAGGGATTGAAGAGTGAGCGGGTGAGGGAGGGCGAATGGGGAAAGGAAGGAAGAGAGAGGGATAGGAGGGGCTAGGCACCCCAATATATTCTAGGCTTTACCCCGTCAGAAGCCAGGTATTCCCATGCTTGACCAAGTGAGTTTACGCTCACCCACCTGCGTCACCACACCAGCGTTCAGGTGGGCATACATATTGTCTCACGGCCAGCACCACAGTCCTGTTTGCCATACAATCTATCACATCCCACAATTCAATCAAGTACCAAGCCCTCATCCCCTCACACATGTTCTCACATCCCCCCTTCACCGCTTCACATCCCCCCTTCATCGCCTCACATCCCCCTTTATCACCTCACATCCCCCCTTCACCGCCTCACATCCCCCCTTTATCACCTCACATTCCCCCTTCACCGCATCACATCCCCCCTTCACCGCCTCACATCCCCTTTCACCGCCTCACATCCCCCCTTCCCCACCTCACATCCCCCCTTCACTGCCTCACATCCCCCCTTCACCGCCTCACACCCCCCCCTTCACCGCCTCACATCCCACCTTCACCGTCTCACATCCCCCCTTCACCTGCTTTACGGGAATGCCCATGCCATGCAGAGCAGCCACCATGGCACCCATGAGCTCTGCCTGCTCGTCAAACGCCAGCGCGGAGCAGTAGAGCGTGCGGTCCATGGGAGTCATGCTGAGGGGAAGGTTTGGGGGAAGAGGGGGGGGGAGGGGTGTTGCAAACCACCACCATGGCGGCCATCAGCTCCGCCTGCTTGTCAAACGCCAGAGGGGAGCAGTAAAGCGTGCGGTCCACAGGGGTCATGTCGGGGAGGCGGAGTGGAGAAAATGGTGAGAGGGGGTGGGGAGGATGTTTCAGCACAGCCACCATGGCGCACATCAGCTCCGCATGCGCGGAGCAGTAGAGCGTGCGGTCCACGGGGGTCATGCTGCGGATGGAAGGGGGGGTGGGGGTGGGGGAAAGTATATTTGTTTTGAGACGAATTCAAACGCCAGCGCGGAGCAGTAGAGTGAGCAGTCTACAGGGATCATGCTGGTGGGGCAGGGGAAGGGTGGGGTGGATGGGAAGCGCAAGGGGGCTGAGAGCATGGGGGAACGACGGGGTACGCATGACAACACATCACAGCGTGCATGCAGTTGCTGGGCACGGGGATTTTACTATCACTCTGTAAGCAACAGAGCGTTGACTTGGAGGGGGGTGGGAAGTGGAGAATGAGGGTGTGGTGTGGGGAGCGGTATGGGATGTGCAATGGGCAATAAACATGGGTTAAATAAGGCAGCACGGAGAGTGCAGCAAGAACACAGTTGAGAGAAAGTACATTTAGCAGCAGGAATAGCGTGGGGAGGCAGAGGGAGGTTTTACGGTATTTGAGAATTCTAAAAAATTGCTTAGAGGGAGGTTTTACGGTATTTGAGAATTCTCAAAAATTGCACAGAGGGAGGTTTTACGGTACATACGATGGGGTGGTGGAGTGTAGGAGAGTGAACTCGCTCTCGAAGCTTGCTCTCAGCACCTGCATGCTCACACACACACTCTCTCTCACACACACACACACATTCACACTCACACACACACTCACACAAACAGACACTCACACACACACACACACACACACACACTCACACACACACTCACACACACATACACACATACATACATACAAATACACTCACACACACACTCACACACACTCACACACACTCACACACACAGACATTCACACATACACTCACACACATAGACACTCACACACACACACACACATACACACACACACATACACACACACATACACATACACATAATCACACGCACACACACTCGCACACACGTACACACACACATACACACAGGCACAGACGCACACAGACAGACAAAAAAACACACACACACACACGCACACACACTCACACACACTTACACACACAGACACACATACACACACGCACCCACGCACACACGCACACACTCTCTGATCGTGTAAACAATTGAGGCGTGAATGACGCACAGAGATTCTTGTTGAATCTGGTTGGGCGATTACAGCAAGTCTCGTCCACTCACCAGTCCAAACCTGTCTTTGAGAGACGCAGCTACTCTCCTCAGCGTGCTGCACGGACAGACAGCAAACTGTGAAAATTGGAACGAGAATGAATGCATTGAGCAGCATGAGGAGTACAAGTACCAAACCCTAGAATGTTGTACCCCATATGAGCTACCCCACTACAGCCTACACAGACTATAGTGTATAAGTTTGACACACCCCCATAGGCAAAGTGGGGGAGAACAAGGGGTCACAAGACCAGTCAAGCAAAGCAAGGCAAAGCAAGCTCAGGGTGGATCACAACGTCACCACACAGTCTGAGCACAAGTTCAAGGCCACAAGGCCAGTTCACATGCAAGGTCACATATATATAAAGCTAAACAGGCAGGTATATATATGTAACAGTACAAGCAAGGTCAAGAAGTAAGCAAGTGAGGCAAGGTAGGTACAAGACCTAACAGAGTGCAGAAGCGCTGATGATCACAAGGCGCGAGTGCCTTAGTGAAGATATCAGCAGTGTTGGCCTCAGAGGCCACGTAAGCAAGGCGCAGCTGACCACGCTGCTGCAGCTCACGAGCAAGAAAGTAGCGGAGAGCGATGTGCTTCGTTCTGTGCTCCAGTCTGTGCTCATGACACAAGGCCAGCATGGCCTTGTTGTCTACGTACAGCACTGGAGGAGAACGAGGCGGCTCTCCCAGGTCAGTCAGCAGGTAGGTGAGCCAGCGTAGCTCCTGTGCAGCCATGGCCCCTGCGTAGATCTCAGCCTCACAACTGGAGCCGAGAACAGAAGACGAGCGGGTAGACCGCCAAGAAACAGAGCCGGAACCAAGGCTGAAGGTGTAACCCTGTGACGACCGCTGCGTAGCCTGGTCGTCAGCCCAAGAAGCGTCTGCGTGACCAGTGAGGACCACTGAACTATGCCCTCCAAGCACAAGCCCCATGCCCGACGTACTGCACAAGTAGCGCAACACCCTCTTCGCTGCAGCCATGTGCTCTGGTCTGTGTCTCCCAGGAGCAACAAAGCGTGCCAGAATGCTAAGAGGGTATGCAAGGTCAGGTCGAGTGCAGGTCATCAGGTACATGAGGCAGCCGACAAGCTCTGGGTACGGGCCACTCGACTCTACGGACTCATCCGAAGGCAGAGTTGAGAGCGAGTGGCGCGTAGGCAGAGGAGTGGCCTGAGGCGAGGAGTACGTGAAGCCGAAGCGCTGAAGGACCTGCTGCACCATGTGTGACTGAGTCAGGGTAATGGTGCGCTGTGCTCTGTCCCTGGTGATCTGCAAGCCAAGGTAGCTGCGCAGTTCACCCAGGTCTGTGCACGTGTGTCTCTTCTGCAGCTCGGACTTCACGTAGGCAAGTCCAACAGTGTCAGCTGTAGCAAAGACCAAGTCGTCGACGTACACGAGGATGTAGAACGGCGGCAAAGAAGTGTCGGTGCGCAGAAACAGCGACGGGTCGGCAGTAGAAGGAGCAAACCCAAGGGCCGCAAGTGTAGTCCTCAGTGTGTCGTGCCACTCACGAGGCGCCTGGCGGAGACCGTAGACTGGCCGCCGGAGGCTCCACTGGGTGCCAGGAGGAAACGTCCCAGTGAAGCCAGGTGGGCGGCGCAGCCAGATCTCCTCGTGAAGGCTGCCCTGCAAGAAAGCAGTGCTGAAGTCAAGAGAGTGCAGCTCGTAGTCTCGGTGAGCAGCTATGTGCAGCAGTACCCGAAGAGTGGTCATCTTCGGGGTGGGGGAGAAAGTCTGAAAGTAGTCAACTCCCTGCCGCTGACTGAAACCACGAGCCACGTAACGCGCCTTGAAGACAGGCGGAGAACCCGGCGGCCGCTTCACCCTGAAAATCCACATGCCACTGACGATGTTCGCCCCAGGCGGGGGAACCTCGTCAACGTAGGTGCCTGTGGACTTCCAGGAAGCCATCTCTGCGTCCATGGCTGCCTGCCACTGAGAGGAGTAGGGACCCTCTATCGCCTCCGCGTAAGAGCGCGGAGTCGGGATGTCAAGTGCATCCGGGTCTCCCTCAGGGGCAAGCAGCATGGACACGAGATGAGGTGAAACAGCAGCCAAGCACTGGAACTCCTCCTGCCTGTCCTCTAGGACGTCCGTGCCAAGAGCACACTCACCCCCGACGGACGGAGGACAGACAGACTCAGACTCAGCGACGAGACTGGTAGCGTAGTCTAGGCGACAGCGGGCAGCGAAGTCGACAAGCTCAGCAACTAGGGCAGACGCAGCAGTAGACTCAAAGGAAGGGTCAGTGACGACAGTACCAAGGAGACGCGTGCTAGTAGGACGCGCAGCACGAAGGGAGTCCGACTCCGGGTCAGGAAGCTCAGGAAGAGAGGACGCTGGAGGAGAGGGCAAAGGGGCACGCAGCGGAGCAGTGGAAGGACGCAGAGACATCCGGTGCGTGCCGGGGACAGGGGGAGGACGCTGACGCGAACCACGACCACTAGTGCGAGCAGCACGGACAGGCGACGCAGGGCGAGACGCAGGCTCACGACGCTCAGCAAGACCTCTAGTAGGACCAGTGTAGGGAGAAGGAGAAGGAAGCGGGGAAGGTGGCTGTAACTGTGACTCAGACTGGACAGGAGGCGGACACTCTAAGGCAGGAGCAGGACCAAGAGAGGACGGAAGACCAAGAACCTGCTCAAGGAGCGGAACGAAGTACGGCCGCGGCCGCGCAGCTCCACCAGTGCCAGCAGGAACAGCACCAGCGCCCCCAGCGGGAGCACCAGCACCAGGAAGACCCGCAACTCCAGCAGCTCCAACTCCAGCACCCCCAGCAGCACCAGCGCCAGGAGCACCTCCAGCGCCAACACCCCCAGTAGCTCCAGCTCCAGCCGGACCACCCGAAGACGCAGCAGCTCCAGCTCCAGGAGCTCCAGCAGCACCAACGCCAGTAGCACCAGCAGCACCAGCAGCACCAGCAGCACCAGCAGCACCAGCAGCTCCAGCAGCACCAGCAGCTCCAGCGCCAGCAACACCAGCAGCACCACCAGCTCCAGCAGGAGGAGCACTCGTAGGGTCAGCAGCTCCAGTACACTCGGTACGAGCACCTCTGGGACCCTCGGCACCAGCACTCTCAGCAGCAGTAGAACCCCCAGCTCCTGCAGCACCACCAGCTCCAGCAGCACGTCGCCAGCGCCGGGCGAACCACTCACGCAGCTCCTGTGGAGAGAGCAGCTCCCGCCGGGACGAAGCACCGGAGGAACCGCCAGGCTCAGCACCACCAGACGCCGGACGAGCAGGTCCAGCACTCTCAGGCTCCGCACTCCGAGACTCAGCACCCCCAAGCTCAGCACCCCCAGGCGCAGCACCCCCAGGCGCAGCACCCCCAGGCGCAGTACCCCCAGGCTCAGCACCCCCAGGCTCAGCACCCCCAGGCTCAGCACCCCCAGTCGCAGCACCCCCAGACCCAGCACCCCCAGTCGCAGCACCCCCAGACCCAGCACCCCCAGGCTCAGCACCACCAGCAGTACCAGAGTCAACAGCTACCTCGACTGGCTCAACTGCATCTACCTGGGACACACCTGAGGGAGCAGGACCCTGAGGGGGGAGGGGGTCTACCGGAGGGGGGCCTGGTGTAAGGAAGAGCGGCGGGGGAGGGAGGGACGCAGTGCGGTAGGGGAAGAGACGGTAGTAGGGAACCGACTCGTCAAAGGTGACGTCCTGGGACGCGAAGACACGGCGCGAGGTGGGGTGGTAGAACTGCCAGCCTGGCGCGTCAGGGGGAAAGCCAAGGAAGACGCAGGGAACAGCACGAGAGGACAGCTTGTCCGCAGACAAGTCGCGGACAAACGCCCTAGATCCCCAGACCCGAAAACGCGACGCATCACCAACCTTCCCCGTCCACAGCAAAGCAGGGGAGGTCTCCGGCATGGAGA